TATATATATATACATATATATACACCTAAGTACTTTCCTTAATATGATGGAAAATAATACCTTATATATGGATGTGCAACATCTACCTGCAAGACTGCTGCGCAGCCATTTGTGCATGCGCATGCAATTTTGCTAATAGCGTTGCTGCTGCAGTAGTTTGCTGCAGCAGCAACAGCAGCAGCAGATAATAACAGTTCTGCTGCTGTAGGTCTTTGTCGGCCTTTCCTTCGCGATTTCTTTCCATATAATACAACCCCCATTGCTTTCCATTTATATAAAGAAGGTCTATTATAATAAATATATATTATTATACTATTATTATTTATTACTCCTTACTAGTTAGTGTATATATATATAGATTAAGATAGTATAGATAATAGCAGCAACAGGGGCAGCAGCAAGTCCCCAAGGAGCTGCCGCTGCAGCAACTAACTCATTCATTATACGACTAACCAATCAATTTGCATGTTTATTAACCTAAGGAAAGAAAATCTACGGTCTTCCTTGAGGGAGTACATTGTATTGTATATGCTGCTCATAGGAGGGGGAGATAAAATATAAGGAGAAAATAAGCTAGAGATATACCGCAGTGTTGCAGCTAAAGGGAAAATATACAACTCACTTTATGTCATGTCTTAGAGGTGCTTTTTTTGGGGGTGGATACTGCTGCTGCAGATGCAGCAGACAACAGAGTCAACCCTTGTTTTCGTAATTTCTGTACAAGAAAGAAAGATGAATCAATCCAGTTGTGGTACGCATCCTTTTATGATGAAATGTTACTTTTTTCTTAATTTATATATGCTGATTAACTATTTTGCAAAAGAAAAGAGAGGTGTTGTTTCTGTTGTATTTCGATGGCCGGGGGTTGAACCACTTCACGTGTTAGCCAGGCTGGTGCTGCAGAGAGCAGAGAAGATCGGCGGCGTATTAAGATCCTTTTGTACGACTACCTACTTTGTTCCAATTGTTTTTGTACTTTTTAGGAATATCCAACTGAAAGGAACCAAAATACCAAAGGATTGAGCATCTTTCTTCACTGCTTGTTGCGGCGGTTGTTATGCCGTGTCTAGTAAGGCAGGTGCTGTGGTGTACGTACACACCACTACACCACAACTGCCGACTCAAATCTTTTTGAATTCCAAACTCTAGTGACTTTTTGAACTCGAAGCTTTTGCATTCGTCTAATTTTATTTTGTACAGCTCCCAGTCGACATCTGTTTCCTGCAAGATCCGCTACTCGGACCGCCGGCAAACACGATGCTCGCTGTTGAGGTTATGACGAATCCATGAGAAGAAAGTTTATCTAACAAGAAATTGATTTTATGAATACTTCAGGAAACATATTTCCGATTCATATTTCTAATTTGAATATCCATTTAAATATAAACGACCAAGACGCTGCTCCTGCTGGGTTTGCAGGACCTGCTGATCCGGTTGTTATTTCGGTTTTCTTCCTACATGTTTCTCTAATGGATTTGATTTGTGTTTCTGCTATTATTTTTGTCTCTATATCACTTAACCCTACACTTTTTCCCTCCTAGAATTTACTGTACCCTCTCTTACCCCATCCAAGACACCTGTGGATCCATTTGCATATACGGCAATCCTTACGGATTTCCTCTACCTCGCCCTCTCGCCTCATAATCCGTTCCCTGCAAAAGCTCTCTACGGAGAAGCATATTAGCAGCAGCTAACACTGCAGCAGCAGCAGGGAGTAAAGGATCTTTCTTTTTGTTGTTTTTTTTTCTGGAGGAGTTTTCTCTTTCGTTTCTTCTGCGAGGTATATTAACATTCTTATTCTTTCTTATTATTGCATGCAGCTATTAAGCACCAGTCTAATTAATGTGTTTATGTAGACTGTTGGAGAAAGGGGGATAAAAGAGGCCCCATAGAAGACAACAGCAGCAAGACGTGAAGAAATGAAGAACCTCCGTGACACCGTTGGTGTATCTGATGGATCTTCTTTGCTTCCTCCTTCTGTTGATGGAGAAAGAGAGGAGGAAGGAAGAAGCGACGAAGGAAGAGGATGTTTAATTATGTCTTGTAGTTTATCAAAGACACCTCCAACTTTATTTAATAGAGAAGACACTACTGCTGCTGCTTCTGTTGCAGGCAGCTGCAGCGCAGCAACAAAGAAAAATGTTGCATTTCAGCCTTCTTTCGAGATAGAGGGAGAAGGAGCGCCAAGAGGAAATATAAATTCATATATTTCTAGTGTACGCTCAGATAGTCTTTTTAATAGTGAGGATAGGATAAGGAGTGGTGATACAGTACCACCAGCAGCAGCACCACAAACAACAACAACAGCAGCAACAACAACAGCAACAGCAGGTCCTGTATTTAATGGGGGACTTAGACATATAAGCAGCAGCTCAGAGGAAGGATCTAGTGAATCAGATAATGAATCTAGAGGTATAATAACAGCAGTGCCTGTACCCCGTTCCCCTGCAACTGCTGCTGCTGCTGCTCCCTTGAGTGTATTGTCTAATACAACTGCAGCAGCAACACCAATCGTAGGACATGCATCAGGTGGTTGTCGGCTTCATGGTCGACAGCAGCAACAACGTCAGCAGCAGCAGGAGCAGGAACAGGATCAGCAGCAATTTAGGCTGCAGGAAGATGACCAGCAACCTCCATCATTCCAGAGATTCGTTGCTGGTCTTCTTTCCCCATTTAAGGAACTAGCAGGAGGAGAATTAAACTTTACGTGGGCATATAGAGAAGCAACAGCACTGCACCGTCACCAGCTGTCTAGACAGTCCTTTGGTAATGTAAGAAAGTTACCAAGTAGGAGGGGAGGTGACCATTGGTCCACTCGGCTTTCTGATGCTCATAGAACATTTTCTTCCGATTTGCAATATTTTCCTTTGCAATTTCGTGATACAGAAGCTGAATCTGAATATGTTGCTGTAACAAATTATCAATCTTCTCTTCGTTTCTCTGTTTATCTGCTGCTGCAGCATTGTTTGCTGCTGCCTGTTCAATTCTCTCTGCTGCTATGGGATCCTGAATCACAGCTATGGTCCGCTACTGGCGGATGGCTACTCCATCCTCTTATTCTTGCATTTGCTGTGGTTAGTGTTTTTGGTCTACTTCTCGCTATTGCCCTCCTCTACCCCGATCTTATGCCCTGCGGTGTCGGCTACTTCTGCCGCGTTCATGCAGCACAGGTTGCATGCGTTTATTCATTTTGCGTAAGTCCTACTCCAAACTTCACTTGCATGCATGCAAAAGACGTCTACCCTTTGAACAAGATAGACGATAACCCTTCGGGATTATCCTCATGCCGTTAGCAGAACAGCAAGCTGCAGCAAACAAGCACTACAGCAGAGCAGCCGCAGTAGCTGCTGTAAGTTCCCTCTTTACACAGTTTTGCCCCTGTTGCTGCTGTATGCTTGTTTGTGTGCAGTATACGGGGTTTATGAGTGCTTCTCTGATTACTGGTCAAATTTATATGGCGAATCGTCTTGAGGAACAACTGGAGGTGCGAAGTGGAGAGGTGAAGGCTGGGGTATCAATAATGAGTTTAATTACAGAAACATCAATTTTCCATTTGTATGTTTTTGCTACAAATGTTCTATTTATGGATCTTATTGGCCCCATTCTTACGAAATGGACAATGATTCTCCATGTACTAACTTCTCTTTACCTCACTACTCCCTTCATTGTTGGATATGCGGACGGCGGACTTTTCAGCCTCTGTACTTTGTAGGTCACACCGATGCAGCAGCATTCGCTGCCAGTATTCTGCTGCATTTGCAGCATAATCCTGGCAGCGAACTCTTCTTCAGAGCAATATTTCGGCTAAAAAGTCATAATATACAGGGAAATACAACCACATGCGCACGAGCAATCTGCATACAACGAACCACAGTCATCTGTGCTATGTATAACAATAAAACGAATACAACCGTATAGTCAGTCTAATTTGTAAGCCACAAGCACTCCCACTTTTCTGTGAACTTGGCCTTTTGCAGGATATCAGTTGCCACGATTGCTACGATTTTGACGGCAATGGCGTATGCCGGACGGCTGTCTGGCGAGTTGCAGCACCGGCTGCTATTCCTTCAGTGGAGGGTAAGAAGGGGGGAAGAAACTTTGCTACTAATGCCCTTTTTGTGTCTGTCTTTACAAGCAAAGTCCATTCTAGTCTGCGATACGATGCGCTCCATGCATGCATCTATGCATGCGTATGCGTAGTACAAAGACAGGGTCATCTGCGTGTAGTTCAGACATATTGCAAGAATGCTAAATGTGTGTTTCTGTGACTCTGTGACTCAATGGACACGATAGTGTTAAAGACGGAGGAATGCTTTAGATTCTTGAATATTGTGCATGCATCTCAATCCACATATAAGAAAACACATGCAGGGCCCGTTTATTTATTGCTCTTGTTATCTTTGTCCTAATGCGATTGGCTTAAAATGACAGAGGTCGAGGCTGAGGCTCATGGAACTTATGCATGAACGAGATGACAACAGTAAGACACGTACAGCTATGGAAAACGTTGTCGGAGAACTTGAACAGGTAAGGTCCTGACGAACAGCAGCACTCCCTTATTAAGTAGACATATATACAAATATATGCACACCTTTATACATATTTCTAGGCATAATTCCTTAAATATGCTTGGAAACACCTTTTAGGTTGGGCCTACCCATGTTGTACTTGCTTATGCGTATTAACACATTTCCTTGTGTGTTGTTGTTGTTATGCTTGTTTCCTTTTGTAGTGTGGAAAGATTCTGCAACAAATGCGGAATTTTGAGCATGATTTCGGGGAGGAGTTCCACGAGTTGTACCGAATCGTTTCCGAGTGCGTGGTTGCCCCTCATCCTATGTGCACTCAGCCTGGCTTTCGTGTGTACTCATAGGTTCGTATACTCTCCTGTGGATATATGTATTCATATCTGGATATTTACTTGTTGGTGCTGCAGGTGTCGCCGCACGCTTTTGACTGGCGAGAAGCTGTACACAGTGAACATCGGAAAGGCAGACGTAGGCGATTCAGTAGCAGCAGCTGTTGTGCATTTGTTCTTTTACTTAATTACTTTAAATTGCTTAAGCTGCAACAGCCTCCAAAGAGAAGCGAAGCAAAACCGTTACACTACACCTGCGTGTGCATGCCGAAACGTGAGATATGAGTGTATTCTGTTACGTATCTGCACGTTTTGCGTGTTTTCGCATGCGTGTTTTGTCGTGTTGTCTTGTGTGTGTCTATGCGGATACCGTCGCTTATATATGTATGTAGGTGTGTGTGTTTTCTCGTGTGTTCCTTCTCTGGCTCTGTGCAGAGGTTCAGCAAACACTTTTTGCAGATGTATTCGCACTATTGTGTCGACCGAGTTGATACAATCAGCACCGAATCTCACCAGCGGTCTTTCATTGCATCTCAGTCGGCAATTCGCCCAAGGGCGGCTGATGTTTCTGTTAAAGGAGGTCTGTCTCTAAGAATTGCAAACCCTTTTGAAATTAATTGCATCTACGTGCTCCTTAAAAGCTCTTAGTCTCCGCTTCCTTCATCGAATTTGCACTTTGAATATCTGATGATCGTCTTTCGTTTTGTTTGCTCTATCCCATGTGCGTAGATGCCTGTATCTGTTTCGGTAATATATTTGTCTCTGGTGCCAGCTTTCCTGCAGCCAGCCCACAACCCACCAATCACAAGCACTTCATCTTAGCTGTTTCTTTTGCTGTGTGTAACAGCTACTCGTTTGTCATCTGACATGCTCGACTCCAGTAGCAGCGACTCTGATGAAGAACCCATGAGGAAGCAGGCGACTATGCAGTGGAGAAAGGTATTGCTTACATACACACTTCATACCCACGGCATTCCTACGTAAAGCTGCGTGCCAAAATTGCTCTTTTAACAAGCGTTTGCGTGTACTGTAGATGCCCCCAAATTGCGACAAAACGAGTAGCTGCAAAGGAAACAGCCAACGAAGAACCGAAACAAAGGCTCCTGTGCCCGGTAGATGGCCAATTAGCTGACAGGCAGACTCACTATAAACAGACACTGTGTAGGATACTTACATAGCTATGGTTAAGGCTTCAGTAATTATCCTTATTAATCTGTTGCGACTTTTTGCGACCTTTAGATGGTGGACGAGGCGGAGCGCAACATGGATGTCATTGGCAAGCAGTGGTCGTTCAGCGTGCGAAAGGTGCGCATCTCCTTGTTTAGAATTGCAGTCAACCCTTTTTTGCAGAAAGTAGCGAACTTTTAGTTGCCTCACACTCCTCAGCAGCACGTACGTGAATATCACCTGTATTGCGCTCTAGCTGCTGGCACGCTGTGAAAAGGAGGACCTCCAACGCCTTTCAGTCACAATAGGTCTTTTTGTGCCCCCTGCAACCGAAATCTTACAGAGATCTCCATTGGACGCTGGGCGACTAAGATGTTGGGTTTTAGCTTACGTGCTATGTTTACATGTTCTCGAAAGATCTTTTCACATGTGCATTTGTGCAGTTGGAACAAGAATTTAACAACGCGCTCTTTGTCGTGGGGGCAGCCCTTCTAGGGCCCGTGGTAACCGACTGGGGCTGCAGCAACAACGAGCTGTGCGAGTTCTTGCACGCCTTGCAGTGGCAATATCAGCCAAACCCATACCACAACCAGTTGCATGCAGCCATGGTAGGCTCCACAGGTCAGCCCACTCCAGGTCTTGAAATTTTTCTCTGCAGAACGCATGCATTTGCAGCTTTAACTCAATGTGAACACTAGGTATTGGCTTCTTGTCAGAATATGTTTCTCAATAGCTTCAACTGTTGCTTCTTGGTTTTCTCGTTGGTACGCTTGCAGGTGGGACACGCAGCAGTTAGCGTCGCGAATATGCTGGGCGTTTGGCAGATGTAGGTGACGTCCTGTTCTCCATTTATCACGAATACCTAGCACGGAGCTGCACGCAGAATACTTGGAGAAGCTAATGTTAAAATGGGTGCCAATATTGGTCGTGATAAGCAAACCCTCTGATGTGCAATATTGTGTATTGCAGAATGGATTCTCTGGAGAAAGCTGCACTCGCAGTTGCCACTTTGGCTCACGATGTCGGTCATCCTGGCCGCACAAATCAATTCTTCGTGGCTTGTTTCGACCCTTTGGTAAGCATTTTACTGCAATTAGGTTCCGCCTTGGGTGTCCCACTAATCTGTTTCCAAACGTTTACAGTTTAGCAGCCGCTTGCTCGATTTGCGCGAGGACTAAGCGCGTACATCTGTGATGTGCATCAACAAGAAGCTGAGTCTTGTTCTTAGCCCTTTGTATGTTGCATCTGGATAAATTAAATACGGGGTAAAAGGTGAGGAGATATTGAATTGAGAATGTAACGTTTTTGAGGCCATGATGCGTCATGGTGCAGGCAGTAATCTACAACGACATATCTCCTCTTGAGAACTTCCACTCTTGTTTGTGTTTTCGGATTCTTGAAAGGTGCGAATAACTTGAAGTCTGTCGGATTGCAGCTGTTTATTCACTTCAGATGTTCACTTCGAGCCAGCGCATTCAGTTGAACTTTGGGGCACCCCCGCCCCCGCATCTATCCCTGGATAAATGCCTATTCATATATGCATCTTTATGCATTTCGTCCTATCCCTTCCTACTGTGGGAACTGTGATTCAGGAAGAGCTGCAACATATTTTTTTTGTTGTCTGTTGGGGGATTCCGTTTTGTGCGGGCGAAGATAATCGAGTGTATCCTCAGTACCGACATGAAACAACACTTTGAGGATATTTCCAAGTTCCGTATGCGCCGACAAAGCGAAGAATTCTCCTGCCGAAATTCTGTTGAAGACAGATGGGCTACACTCCGCATGTGCGTTAAATTGGGGGACCTTTGCCACACCGCCCTGCAGTGGTCTGACCACTTCTTCATGTCGTGCGCCATCACTGAAGAATTTTTCCAACAAGGAGATGAAGTGAGTCAACTCAGTCCCACTCAAGCTTAATCTGCTCGCTTGTTCTCTTGAACAACCTTAGGTTCGCAACTTTCATGGCTCAAACCAGAGGTGGAGCTCAGAACCGCCGCCTTTCGTTTCCTATGTGTTCTACTAGTTGCTACACTTCTCAAGAATTTTCACCCTGAATAGTGCTAGCCCTCCAAAAGTTTTTGCACTCGACGTACACAATTTTTGGGTATTTTCATTATTTGCACTTTCCCCTTTTCGGCGCGCTTTTTACAGTGGCTGCCGATCGGTGGTTGCACAGAATGTACGTAATGAGTCTGGTTTTGCCGCAGAGTTTGAGCATTTAAATATTGTACTCTTGCTTCAGGAACTGCGCCGGGGTATGTCGGTGTCGCCACTGTGCAGCCGTAGTGCCCAAATGGACATTGCAAAGTCGCAAGAAAGTTTCTTGTCATTTGTAGCTCGACCCCTTGTTGCCGAATTGGTTGAGTTAGACGGCCAAAAGCAAATGGCGTAGGTTTTTTCCTTCGATAGTTTGCAGCTGCTTCTCCCCGTTCGAATCACAGAAGTGAATGGAATTTTTCTCAGAAGTTGGCACCATCCCTGGCAGACCGCAGTATCCGCAGTCATTTCCTTTGCTCATTGTAGTTTTAATGTTGATTGTTGATGTTCCGTTCACCTGTGTATTTTGCCCTGTAGAGCTGAGGTGTTGTCAACTTTGGACGCCAACATGGAGCGCTGGAAAACGTTGGCCGCTGAAGGCACTGCTGTATCCTTACCGCCGACAAACAAACAAACTCAAGTTCGCACATTCACACTGCACGCCGTTCGTAACCTTGCGGGTCCTGCGCTGTCCTTGGCCCGGGTTAAGACAGCTGCAGATCGCGGCGATCAGCGGCATAATGAAGACCGGGACGCCCAGGCGCCGTTGACGCCGCCGAGAGCTCCTTTTATTGAGCACGATGGTACACTAAATAAAATAGAACTTCCCACCAGACAAGGCAGAATCCTCCCTTACATTTGTATTTGCGTCCTCCCACACACCTCGTGCCGACGGTACAGTAAGCAAATCGAAAATGACTGGATAGTGATCCTATTCCAAGATGTATATATGAAGTGCGTGTCGGGCATTTGCAGCGGGAACGCATCTCTTCGACTGGCTGGCCAACTCTGGCGAAGCTACAAGTCTGTGGAGTCCTCGATTTACAGTAGATTGCGTGCCCGCCGACACCCACCAAGATTCATCAGGCTCGAAAAGCAACTCAAGACAAGGCGTAAGCTTCACAACTGATCTTCCCCCCTCCTAATCCGAGGGAATGCTGAATGAACCTGTCGTGCCTGTCAGCAACCACTGCGGCGGGCTAATTGTTTGCTATCAGTAGGCCCAGCCCTGGACGTCTAGCATAGGCAGTTTGGGAGTGCTGAGGCTTTCGAGCGGAGGAGTATATGGACTCCTTTGCTAGCTCAACTTCATGCTGCTACTTGTACAGCGGACTTCGTTGAAACATAAAATGACAGCACACAGTGGTAGCGCTTATGGTTTGAAAAACCAAGTTTGGAGATGCAACAAAGGGCGGAGAAAACAGCGACTCTCTGCACTTGACAGATTCGATTGGGGCTCCAGCCTCGTACTGCCATTTCCCGAGCGGCTCACGCAGCCGCACTTTCTGGCGGTGCTGAGGGAGCTGAGGCGAAACAACTCACAACAGCACTCCTCACCTGTCACCATCGAACATTTGCTCCTGATGCTGCTGCAGCAGCGACCCAGAAGTTTCTTAGTGCTTTGTATGTATCCCAACTGTGTTGAGCAACCAATAGGCACAAACGAGGTGCAATGAGAACGTGTGAGTCACATAGGGGTGTCCCCCAGCTGAAGCCGTATTTAAAGCTACCTGTCAATACTCACTGCTAAGGCGTAAACAGGATCAGTGACTGCTGCCCCTAGCATCTTCCACATGGCGGTACCTGGTTTTTCCCGCCTTTTTAAATCAGCAAATTACGTGCTACGTGGCTTACGTGGCATGCCAGTAGGGTAGACAACATTCAGTGTTTCAGCATTTAGTCTTAAGGGTTATTATGATTAGGTGTGTAAACGCTTGCCGGCTCCAGCTGCTTGCCGCTGCTGCAGTTTGAGTACTGCGTAGTTGTGCACACGGGCGATGTTGACCTCGGTCATGGTTATTTGGGTCCTAAGCCATTCCATGTCGGCCTCCTAACGCACAGATAGGTGCAAACACCTCCCATATTTCCCTCATATTTCCATATCTAGTAATAGGTGCCAATCGGCAAACGCTGTTGACACCCAGAAAGCCGCTGGAAGCCGTCGAGAAAAGGAAGGAAACAACCTAGGCTATATACTCCGCCTGCATAATGCTGAAGTGTTCCCTTCGTGCATAGTCCGTGGAACAAGTTCATTTCATAGCAAGCCGTGATTGCCAAAGTGTAACAAAACGGCAGCATCTTTGTATAACAAGACCGCATGAAAACCATTCCATCAGCTATGACTTCGCTTACCGCCTCCTCCAGGTACTTATTTGCAAATTTGAGACTTTTGTTGAGGACGTCCTCCGCCTCCTGTATAGTATACTCCACAACTACATCAGCCTGTATCCGCCGGCCCCCGCGGACAAATGCAGCAGCAGACAGAAGGGAATAATACAGCGCATAAGTTCATCCTGAATGGTAGCTAGCGCAGTTCCACGTGCATATGCTTCAAGGGTATCCAACAAGCCAGCCAGGTAGCTGGCTAGCTTGCCAGCTGAAACAACTAGCTAGACATTCTTACGGCCAGCCAAAGGCAAACGGTGTCAGTTGGGGGGACAGTGGCCTGCACATGAACGGTCTCAGCCAATTGGAAGTGGGTCTGGAGTTCCCCATCTCCTCCCTCCTTGGCTACGTCCTGCATTGATGTCGCCAGGTCAAACAAAAGAAAAAGGCGCAAAATTAAGTATATATATATATATATATATTATAT